ATTAGGAGAATGTTCCGATTGATCCAACTCCTACTGAATTGAAAAACCGATGTCCATTAGATTGTTGGGTCAAGGCATTATCTCAAATCCCACTCTCATGGCATCATCCTAGATGACGGAAGACTACCTCGGAGCATCCTAGTTAAACTTTCTTTAAGATAAAGCCCCCACAATCAACCAACAGATATATTAAGTGACTCAGAAAAGGCTCGTAAAGAACTCCGTTGCTTACTCTAAAAATGCCTCACTTCAATCTCCCAAACCCACCTACCCACCCTCTCACTCGGGCACGTCCTTTTACACAACTGATAATGGTATTGTGAAGATGCAGACAGATTGCAGATAGTTCGCAGCATGACAAGCACTTCAAATGAAAAAAAGAAAAAGAAAAAAAAAAACAATTTAGCAGATTATGAATTTAAAAAGTCCTCTTTAATGATTATTAAAGAAAATAACCAGAGAAACACCCCGATAACTAACATATGACGAACCTTCTTCCGTGATTCAATGGCCCTCGATAACTAACATCTAAATCCTGCAACCCTAAACAAACAAAATACAAAACAAAAACAAATCCTAAATCCTAAGCTATGATTAGTCATTTACTCAATTGAAAGCTCTCTAATCCTACCCCAAATTCCTAGTCATCCATCTAGACACTCAACGCATCCATTTACTGACAAGCATAACACGTCCTACACCCCTTGATCCTTCATCAATCATGCATTTTTAAACTATCTTTATTGACTATGATGAAAAGAAAAAATATTAAAAATATATAAATACATAGGTATATGGTATCTCAAGATATTGTATTTGATGAAATTTCTTCTTATTATCCTCTGTAAATAGTTTATATTAAAAATATCAATCGATGAAAATGATATATATTCAAAACAGTTTCTTTTATCATATAGTACTCAATTTTAGCTCATCTTCTTCCTTATCTATATCTATTTTTATTATTTCTTCATCATTAATAGTCAAACAAAGTGATAGGGAGAATTATAATGTTAAAAAAAATTAGACCATTAAAATGATAAAAAAAATAATTATCAAGCCACCACCCGATGAAAATAATGTAAGCATATACCATTGTTTCTTTCTATTATTTTTTATGAAGCCAGGATTTAAGAAATAAAAGGATATCATTGTTGAATCTCAGATTTTGATGATGAAACTAATTGATAAGTGTTTATGATTTGATATGTGTGTTGAGTGACGCAGGATGCTTCGATCAGGATGAAACAATTAAAGCAGGAAGAATCATGTTGGGCCAAAGGAAAACATGTCAGAAGATTAGACGTCGAGCCGGAGAATCGGTCGATGTATCGACAGAAGGCTTCAGGCCATGGCTTCCGGCATCAGGTTAAGAAGAGAGGATATTGTGCCAAGGATATTGGAGTTGCGGAGGTCAATTAGCCGATTGGGCAATAGGCCGCAAGAGAGGATGATGCGTCGAAAAATCGGACGAAGCGTCGATGGACCAATGACATGCCAGACAACATGATTCAAGTTTAGTAATAATTGTCTAGATCGAAGTGTATCTTATATATGCATAATTAACTACGATAGCAAGGCATAAAGTAAAATGAAGTCCCGGAGTCAAGAACGCGATTTCATTGGGAGTTCGAGAGTTCGTTAGAAATCCAAACGTTCGTCGGAAGTTCTATCAGAACTGATCGAGAAGTCCAGGAGCTTACCAAAGAAGCTCATCGGAACTCACCAAGAAGATCGTCGTGAAGTCTAGAAGCTTGCCGAGAGTCCGCTGGAACATTGCCGAGAGATCGTCAGAAGTTCGCCGGAAGAAACCTAGACTTACATACTTGTTTACTTAGAAAATGTCTTAAATTTTATAGTTAACACATAATTAAGATTAGAATTAGGCCTACCTAATTAGGGGACAGTTGGGCCTAAGTTTGGGTTGTGTTAGGCCAAGAGAAAGGCCTAAACAATGACCAAACATGTGAAACCATCGTGACACAGTTTTCGAGACTTTATCAGGCAGTGATACCGCCCAGACACAGTCTTCTAAGCGGTGGTACCATCTAAAGTTAAAGACCATTCTAAGGGAGAGTGTGAGGGAAGCTTTGTAAAAAAAGGGTGTAAAGGTTTTTTTCTAAACCTACAAAAAGAGAATAGAGTTGTAAGAAGGAGGTTGATCTTCGCCTATTAAAGGAAGATCGATAGTGGATGCCGGTGGCCTCGACGATTTGGTCATGACGACCGAACTACTATAAATCGATTTGCTTTTAATTCTCGTATTGCAAATTAATTTACTTACTTTGTTTATTACATTCTTGCAAACGTTTTAAAGTTGAACGCATTCCGAGATCGATTTTAATCGAATGAAATTTGTATGAAACCGATGTTTTTACCAGTGCACTAATTCACCCCCCTCCCCTCTTAGCGCCGACTTGTTCCTAACAATCATAGATAAAGAATATAGATTTGGTCACTTACAAATAGGTCTACAAAGTGAAATGAAAGTTATATGAAAATATAAATCATTATAAAACAATATTTATTGTAAGAAAATTTTCTCAAAAATATGAAAAAGATTATGATGAAATATTTAATCTTGTAACCAAGATGACATATATTATGATAGTAATTACTTTAGTAGCTAATTTTAGATGAAAGATTTAGTAATTTATGTGAAAAATATCTTCCTATACGATGAAATCAGCAAAGATACTAATAAGGACAACCACTAGGGTATACTTTTATTAAAATAAATAAATTATATTTATGAGCTCAAAAATATTCTCTATCTATTAAAACAAGCTCCATGTAGAAATATTACTCAATACATATATTTATGTGGTTATTTTTCTTCTAATTTAGATATTAGTTTATTTACTAAATATAGGGCAATCTAGGGCAACATCATATGTGTAACGGAAGAATATTAAAAATAATATCTTTAATTTTTTTAAAAAATGTGTTCGTCGTCAACTAGTGCGTAAAAACCGTGAAACTTAAAACTACGTATATAAAAGAGTTTGTTACATAGGGAGATCGTATATCCCTAAATCCCTATAGATCTCTAGGAGAGGGTGAAGGAGGTCAAGTGTCTTCATCTCTAGCAGTGATTCATACAGTAGGATTGCGACGATGCTCCTCAAAACTCCAAACCTACTATCTGAGGAGGAGAAGGAGAGGAGAATAAGAGAGGTAATCCAAAAAGGCTCTAGCATATGAATCATTAGTTCCCTCCTATTTAAAAAGATCTCGTGTCAACTTAATCCTAATGAATCATACCCTATTAGGTATTGGATCTCCATCCAACTACCCAAGCCTCTTAGATTAGTGAATCTCTATCCAATAATCTATTATTAACTCTTATTAGATCTAATCCAAAGAATCCAATAATTCATGAGCATATAGATATGTTAAGTCATACGTGTCATGAGCTTATAGATATCATCTCACGTGATTGGCTTGGACACATGTGGCTAACACTAAAAAGTAAGAAAGCCTACGTGTTATTATTTTTCTATATGTAGATGATATGATCATCAACGATAATAATGAAATAGAGATTTCAAAATTTTATGATGATCTTTCTTTCTAATTCCAAATGAGAGTCTTTCATAAGTTTATCATTTTGTTTGGTTTGAAAGTGATGAGTACAAAAAAGATATATTTATTTATCTGTCAAATAAACTATATAAAGAAAATTATTAAAAAGTTTTAGAATTAATAAAAATAAAAATTTCTAATCTACTTATACAATATAAAGCTAAATCATAATGATGACAATGTTCTTTCTAACCCTCTATCTTTTTATAATTATAAGATTAGATATTATATTTTTAATTAGGCTTTAATTAGTCTTTTATGTTATTTTATACGATCCCCAAGAAAGCGGATGTAGTAACGAGAATTTTAAAATATATGAATTTAATCTTTGATTTGGGATTATTCTTTAAGAATGACATATATCCTAAATTGCATAATTACGTAGACGTTAGATCAGGTGATTTAAATGATAGTATATTCACTTCTTTTCTTGTTAGGTCTTTATATGATTCTGTTTGTATCTTATAGGTAGTAAAAAATAATAATCACTCTTTTTTACAACTGAAGTAGAATGTAAGGCTTCCTTATTTGTTTGTATATAGTTAAGATATTTAATTAAGGACATTTGATATGAAATTAATAAATTAATTATTTTACAATATGACAATCAGAGTGTCTTAAAATTAATTACAAATATAACTTGTCGTGAAAGTTAAAATTAAGCATCATTTAATCTGAAAAAAAAAATTAAGCAAAGGTGATAATCTGAAAAATTATTACACTTCATTAGTCACATATACAACAGAGGTGATATGCCGTCATCGATCTCTGCAAAGAAAGTAGCCGACGTTGTGCTTCATTAGTCACACATACAACCGAGGAGTCTGATCACCTCGCTGATGTTGACAATGGTGATATGCCCGCAGTCATTGGCTTCGGCCTCGGCCTCGTGAAGGTGTCCGTGCTGCTAAGAGCACGAGGGTCTCTTTTGGAGCAGATTGCACCGCTCAGTTGACCGTGAAAAAGGCCAACCACCCACCTTCGCTGGTGGAGCGAGTCAACGCCCTCCTCCTCTGTTTCCCAAAGAGTCCCTCCGATTTCTCCCTCGGAGTCTACAGATAACACAGCGTCGTCTACCAAGTTTTAGAGTCTTAAGGTGGTGGGAAGAGATGTCGATAGTCGTCGCCTTTGTGCGATTCCATGTCTCTCTTTTCTCCCTTGTTATCAGCCTAAAAGGTTCTCACTCTCCTCAGTTCATCAGTTCGATTCAAGAAAGAGGTCAAAGTCTTCAGTCTTTGCATTTAAAGGATGTTGATGTCGAATAGTTTAGATGGCATATCCGCTTGAAGAAAGGCCATGACAACCATGATCTCTGTTCTACGATCTTATCATCCAATTAGGCTTCATGCCACTAAGAAGAACGCAGAGAAGTGCTATCTTTATTAGAACTCAGAGAAATGAGTAGCACACCGCATTCTTCCCGCTCCTCCAACCTTCTCTACCACCGGCTTACGACGAGGCCGGCCGCCTCTTATTCAAGCTCTCTAGAATCCTCCGAAACCAAAGAGCGACTCAACCGATGGCTGCCGCCGCTTCGCTTCTCCCCGCCGCCTCCCCGGTCCGGGCAGGAACACCGACTCTGGCTGTGCGTCGAACACCTCTTGCACTTCTTCCGCCGGTGCGCCGAACGACAGCTGCTTCGCTTCCCTGTCCAGTAAGTTCATCACGTTGTTCTTTCCCGCGAGGTAGCACTTCCTGTTCCTTCCCGCCCTGATGCCGAAACAGAGGACCTCAAGGTTCTCGTTTGCGGCGGCGACGGCGGTCACCGGGTGGCCCGGAGGGATCACGAACACTGAACCGCGGGAGACTTCCGATCGCACCGTCCGGTAGCGGACGCGCTGCTGTCCTTCCGGTTCCGTTGCATCCTCGCTCCTGCGTGAGTCACCGGAGCGACGGGGACAGACCATCTCGAAGTGGCCTCTTCCCTCCACCACCATGGCCAACTTGGTCGCCCGGGAGTTGTAGCTTGGTGCCATCATCGATCTCTGGAAGCAAACTAACCGATGTCATACTTCACACTTACAGTGGAACGATCAGAAGCCGCGAGAAACAATCACCTCGCTGATGTTAGCGATGGATACATCCACATCAAGATCCTGGAGCCGGTGATAGTCACTAGATCTGGCCTCGTAGAGTTCCCCATACTCGTTTGCATGCGACGGCCTCTTCTGCAGCAGATTGTACGGTTCATTTGACCGTGCAGAATGCCGACCGCCACCGAAGCCGGTGGTTTGACTCAATGCCCTGATCTGCTCTTCGGTTATCTTTATGATTTCCCCCTTCTTCTGGCGCTCGAAGAGTCTCTCTAATCTATCCCTTGGAGTCTACAGACGAAACGAAGAATCAGCATCAGCATCATGTACTAATAAGCTTCAATGGAAACGGAGGCAGATCGGAACTGACATTGAAGGCGGCTTCCAATACTCCATTGCTGAAGCTGTTGTAGAAGCTCTCCGGGTTGCTACCGGCTGCGCCAAAGAACTCCTGCATCGAAAACACCTCCGCGAATTTAACGGGCTCTGTACCCAATAACACAGTGCAAACCTACTTGACCATGTACCTCGAAGTGTCCAGGTGTGGAGATGGGGTGGAGGAGCATGGCGATATGAAGCCTCTCGTTTTTGGCTTTGTTGATCGCATAAACGATCACCCCTGCCGGAATCCTCATGATGTCTCCTCTCTTGATCTCGTGCGACTCCCGGTTTTCCTCGTGAAGCAATGTTATGGTCCCACGGCCTATAATACGATTGCCGTAAGAACAGAGACTCAACAAGCTCTGTAAAGCTTAGAACAGAGCGTTAATCGTTACCTTCCATTACGTAGAAGACCTCCTCGGCGTCCCAATGGCTGGGCATGATAAAGGTCTCGGGCTCAGCCTCCATGATCGCCAGGCGATAGTTCTCGATGCCGATCAAGAGCTCGGATCGCCTGGAAAACCTCTCCAGAACCTTGAAACGGCCGTGCTCCGATCTGCTCCAGTGCTCGTAGCTCCTCTCGCCGAAGTAGTACGGGTTGTACTCTCTTGTTTCACCCTCCGCCTCCTCCTCGCGCTCCTGCTCTCTTCCAGCTTCTCGCTCGCTGGTCCCTCGGCACTCCATGACGCAGCGCGTCTTCTCCGGATCGGATCCCGAGGAGGATGCAGCCAAGAGGGAGGAAAGAAGCAGCAGAAGTGGGAAGCCGACTTGGACTGTTCCGGTGGCCATTACACTTCGGATAGTGGTATTCCAAGAGATGAATGAGGCAGGGAGAGTTTTTATAGAGAGAGAAAAGGTGGTGGGCGCGGTGTGAAGTCGGATCGTACCGCGATCTGCGCTGTTGCATGCATGGCTCCAGGTGGAGTAGGGGGAGTTTACGTGGAGAGGAGATGGGGTCGTCCATCACCGAGTCGTAGGCCACCTGGTCATCTACGACAAGCGTTTCGGAACGAACCCGACACCTCTCATCCTTCCGAACGTGCCGTGTCATCGTAGTATACTTGATGTATGTCATTGATGGAAGAAGGAATGAGCAGCAGATTAATAAGCTTTATTATGAGAATTAAGGGCAATCCGAGAAGTAATTAATCCCATCACAGCCACTTAAATCGTGCTTACAGTAACCAAACTTTTGCCGTCATGTCCGTTGTATGGTTCATGGCGATTGCTGCGCCACGTCTACGTCGATGCCCAACGCGTGTACGGCCATGCAAGATGGCAGCACACTTCATTGCTTTCGTCGTCGCTCGCCGCCTGAGAGCTGACTCGCTTTCCTCTCCCTCTCCTCACTTCGTCGTCAACCATTCCTCTCCGATGATGACTCAAAATCCATTCGCCCTCTTCCTGGTCGCCGTCAGGTTGGCGATTCCAGCGCTGGGGAGGACCCCGAGCTGAAGCTCTGGAAGCAGCAGTTCGATGAGGGGCAGAAGCGAAAGCACCGACGCGCCTGCGAGGAGTACGCGAGGGTGAAGGAGGAGCCGGAGAAGAAGCTCCAGCGCTGCAAGCACGAGTGCAGGGCGAGCCAGCAGAGCGAACAGCAGCAGAAGCAGTGCGAGCGGAAGTGCCAGGACAAGTACGAGAAGGAGAACAAGGATGTTGTGGGCGATGGAGAAAGGAAGGGTGACGACAGTGGACTCAAAGAGAAGTTTCATCAACGCCAGCAGCAATTCTCCCAATGGCGATGCAAGATAAGAGTATAAAGAAGAAGCAACCCTAAGCATCAGAACAATTGGCTATTCTATGTAGTTGCTCTCATGTTTTCATCGGTTCTTAGCACCATGTTGTTCTATGTGTTGGGGGGCTTAAACCGAGGAGCTGCAAACTTGGAACGAGAGTGGGTGTGCTTCGATAGCATGCAACTCTAGATGTGATGTGACGTGATGGTGTGGTAGGTCTGTTTCTAGAGGATGAAAGAGGTCTCCTTGATTCAGAGATGAAGATGCAGAGATGAAAGAGGCCTTCATAAAATGCTCAAAGATAAAGAAGACTTGTAATGTTACTTCGAGTAATTAAGAAGAATTCCACTGCGTCAACTCATTAACTTCTCTTTCTCTTCACGTGGTTTAGCTCTCCATGAAGGCGGCCATCGTAATTGGCGCTCGCGGGACCTATTCACTCTTCCTTACCAGGAATTCAGTATCACCTCGTCTCTCTCTTCACGTGATTCAGCTCTGCATTGCAGGTGACCGCCATGATCGCACACACGCGCCTCCGTCGAGGGTAAAAAATTGGGCGGCCTCCAGAAGAACTTGATTCCCATCATCAAAGAGCACAAAAGGCCAAAGGATCAGCTCATGTTGCCAGCACCTCCTCTGCTGCCTTTGTTGCCTTGTTCTTCTTAAGCTCACAAGAACATTGAACAGAAATGAGGACTTACTGTCCACTACCATACAACTGCAGCAGCAGCAGCAGCAGCAGCAGCAGCAGAAGCAAAGAATGAGTTTGGTTTCTGATTTCTGAGTGCAAGTCCAAAGAGAAGGGAATGGAATGTCACCTTGCATTGGAACTCCCACCAACCAGGTCAAGAAATGCTTGGTAAGTTCCGAGTATGAGAACCCGAAGTCTCATGTGCAGCTAGCAATCTTCTGGCCAAGATTACATCAGCTTTTGTTTCATTGATGGGTCATTAACAAAGCACTGCAGTGGCAGATGTCAGATTATGATCACAAATCCCAGCTTTAGGATACACAAGTCAAAGATGGAAGCCATTAGGACTTCTGACCATCACTTGAAACTCTCACAATTAAACCTAAACATGAGGGTTTTGACTAATTACATCTTGATTTAGAACTACAACCAGTGAGTGAAGTAAAAAAGTGCTACTACTGCATCAAGCACAATGTAGCCTTAGTACTCTTTGTACTCTATATATCAGTGTCCTCACACCTCTATGTGCTCAATTTAAACCTAGAAAAGCTTTGTTCACAGTCTAGGCTTCATCAAAGGAAATGATTCTTTTCTGTCATGTCCCTCAATTATTGAATTTGTCCTTGTACTAATAGATTAGTTTAGAGATTATGTCTATAAAATTATTTAATTTAAAATTAATTTAAATATCAGATAGACAATCCTATATGATATTAATTTTTATTTCGATCGACCCTCCGAGTCTCTCATTTAGTTACGTAAAAATTTTAGATCCGAGCATCATTGATATCTACTATATCAAAAGAAATTAAATTTTCGAGGAGATATATGCTAATTAATAGAGTTATATATATATATATATTTACGAGCAATAAAATTAAAAATTACAGGATTAATGGGGAATAATATAAAATTATATAGAGAATTAAGGAATTGCACTTTAGCTTTAAAGTATTGCGTTCCTCCAAAATCCGGCCAAAAAAGGCTGCCAACGGCATGCTTTAAAATCCGTGTCGGATATCACCTTCACCGCCAACTAGTCTCCATCAGATCCCAACCCCAAACCTCGCTACAAATCTTCCACCTCATCAAAGGATAGACGGGTCCCACGCGGACCTCCACATCGGACTCCGGGTCCAAGCGATGGGTACTCCTTCGCGTCCCTGTTCGCGCTGTTATAAGTATAACGGAAATCCCAATCATTGAACGCTTCTCTCGGTCATTCTAATGTCACCGCAAAGCACCGGATCCCGCTGTTATATATTTAAGTATTATTTACAGCACATATTTTAATTTCCCATAATAATCTTCCACCATGTGGTAACCATAGGTGTGAATACCGGCGACCGACCTGGGAGCGGGTGTCGGTAGCCAGCCCCCGAGGAGGAGCGGCAAAATAATGAAAAGGTGGCGGTGTTCACCTGCCGTGCTCTGTGGCCTCATCGACTCGCTTGTCCTTTTCTTCCCCGCCACCGGCGACGTGGAGGCTTCTTGCGGTCATTTCTTTTCTACCACGAGGTTGACGAGGAGAAGACACAGATGGCGACAGAGGGCGGTGGGGCCGGCTACTTTGGAAGAGAGAGAGTGAGAGTGTGTGAAATTGATTAGATTAATTAGGTTAGATCGAGGAAGAAGAGGACGAGGGCCAAAAGGAAGGGCCAAAAATGGGGTTCCCGCCCATCGCTCCTCTTGAAATCTTATAGGGGACTGGTGAGCGAGAGAGAGAGAGAGAGAGAGGGAGAGGGAGGAGGAGGGAGATGTGGGTGAGCTCTCAGAGCTCTGGGGCGTCGCAAGGAGATGGACACGCCAGATCGGAGCAAGATCGCGGGGACGCCGCTGTCCAAGTTTGAGGTGATTCGCGTCTGATGCGATTTTGATCAGTTGGTGGTGTTCTTTGTTTGGGATTCCTTTTCCTTCTTTCTTGATGTATTTTTGTGTGTTTTGCTCGTGATCTGAGGGAGGATTGGGTCGAGCGCCTTTGATGCGGTTTAGTGGTCTAAGTTTGCGTTATTGACGGCGAAAAGTTGGGTTTTTGTTTCCTCCTCATTTTTTTTTTTCTTCTTTCCTTAAATTCGCGGTGCGGACCGAGCTGCCGGCTGGTGATATCTTTGCTGCCGTGTTCTTTCTTGAAAGTAAAGATCTTAAGATGTTTAATTTTGCTATACTTTGCTCGGGATCTTTGCTTGCGCGATGACATATTGACTGAATCGCTGCTCAGATGTTGTTAACTGTTATCTTGTATGTGAAGGAGTGCTTCGTCGATTCTTGTGTCCTTGGGTTCTCTATCTATAATTTTAACGATCTTTCTAAAAAGAAATCTCTGAAAATGGTTAATTTTGGTCCAATTTGCTTGATATCTTCGCTTGTGACTAAATTAATGCCGCTCTTGGGTGTTTTAGTAGTTTCTTGCTTTCTTTCAATCCAAAGGGGGACTGCAAGAACGAATCTTGGTTAATTTCGCATCGTGGTCCTGCCATCAATTTTTTGGTTTCCTGATGAAGAAGTTTGGGCTTTTGGCCATGTTCTTATGTTCTTTCTTTAAAATTTTACGCACCAACAGAGTGATTGATTGCTCTAGTGTCTATTTTTGGATACTTCCAAACTCGGAAGAAGGTGCTTAAAATGGTTGCTCTTTGCTACATTTTATTCGGGTTCTGTGGCCTATGCGGTGACAATTTGAAGGAATTGAAGTTGAGTGTCGTCGATGCAGCAATCTTTTCTCGTGCTTTGATGGAAGCCTTGAGTTGAGTGTCGTTGATGCAGGAATCTTTTCTCGTGCTTTGATGGAAGCCTTGAGTTGGATACTCCGCAGGGACATTTTGACTGATCTTGGATGTTGTCTTAGCATATTATCGTGGTTTGAACTACGACTTCTCTGGGTGTCTTTGATGCAAGATTAATGCATAGTTGTTTGAGATCCATTGTTCTCTGCCTTAATTTCTTGGGTTTTTTAAGGAAAAGTTTATTATTTATTTCTTATGCTGTTTCTGTAATTTGATTGGTTGACAATCTGCACATAGTTTGGATACATTGCAAATCTAAGACTCCCATATGATTTTGTTGAAGTTATGGTTAAAATGGTTATTTTTCATCATGATTTGCTTGGGATCTCTGCTCACATGGTAACATTTTGCTGTATTGATGCTTTGGAGGTTTGTATGTGTCTTTCTGTTTTGATAGTCTTGTGGGGATTTATCCACTTTGGCTATTCATATACCAGCATAAACAAAAGATATTGATTCTCCCCTTTCCTTTTCTGTATCACTTTACTCTTTTCCTCCCTGCTGCATTTATTTTTTTAGGTGTTCATTTGGTCAACATTCCATTTTATGATTGTTCTCTGGTGAAAGTGACAAGATTTAAGCTTTTTTGTGATAGTGCTGATATTACAAGTGGTTTGGTTCGAAGACCTGACTTTATTTTAATAATTTTCTTGTTTTGGGTATGTATCACATTTTGAAAGAATTTTGTTGAAGATTTACCACCATGTAAGTCAAAAATTACTGCCAATATCTTACTAAATTCTTGCACGCTCACAACTATCGGAATCTCGTGCACCTTCAAAAAGCAAAATTTTAAATATTCGTCAGCCTAAAATTTAATATTTTATCCTTGCTAGCTCTGACTTTAGAACCAACCTATATGATTTGTTGCTAGCTCAGAACTGTATACTATGGACGTGCAAGCAAATCTTTAACCATGCATCAGCTGAAGAGTTAATATTTCATCCTTTGTAGCCTCTGACTTCAGAATGAACTTGTACAATTTGTTGCTAGCTAGGCTGTTGTAATGTGTGCTTGTAGGTCAATGCCATGGTCTGTATACTACTGTTATGTTTTATGCAATATCAATGCCAGAACATGCAAGTTTTTGATATATAGATAGGTGAATGGATTTTCTATATGGGCATGGTTGTGCTGGCTTGTTGCTTGCATAGAGCCCAGTTACTGCATCACCAGCACTTTACTCATAGTTAAAGTAGTGAAATATGGTGGTAGAAATTATTTATACTAGTTGATCTTATGACCATTGTGTTTCCTTTGTCTTGTTAAGGTGTGTATCTTGTAATTTGTTTACAAAATAACATTGCTATTCTGGTGCTGAATTCTTTACAATGGTTTATGTCATGTTCAGGGTTATACATATTATTTAGTAATTTCATTTTATGTTGCAGGAGTCACCAATCTTTAACTTCATCAATAATTTGTCTCCTATCCAGCCCGTCAAGTCAATAGATTCAGTACATATTGCACATACATATCAGTCATTGAACTTTGCTTCTCTTTCTTCCATATTTAGTTCACCGCATGCCAACCCTCCAAGGGAAACTAGGGTTTTGTCAAGGTAATAATCAATTTTTTATATATCTTAGAATTATGTTAGTATCAGTTTCATTTTGATATCCATTTCATGATGATATTCTTTCTGTACTTAGGCCACCTTTCACGGACACCACTAAACAAGAGAATTTTGCATCCAATGTGGGTGAAAGTAACCTATGCTCAGAGGTTTCTGATGCTGTTAGGCCATCCAGATTCACTGCCAGCACACGGGGAAATTACACTACATGTTCACTTAATGAGGCTGCTCTTGATCCATCCGATCAATGTCCAAGCCTCCATAGTCCCTTTCCTCAGTCAACACAATACAATTCTGGTAGTCCTGACCATAATATGCCAACACACTTTGGCATTAAGATGGATCCTAATTTAGACATAGGCCATACGCCAGTGGAAATTCACCTTGTTCAAAATGGTGGAGAAAGGCGAAAAATTTTATTTGCTATGGAGGCTGGGTTTCAGGGGAATCATCCACATGAGTTGAACAAAGATGAAGTGGTAGGGTGTGACTGGGAAAGTTTAATCTCCGATGATGTAGAAAGTTTGTTGATTTTCGATTCATCGACAGAATCAGAGGCCCACAATGAAGTGGGTGAGAAAGGCATGGACTGTGATGGAAATTCCTTGGTTTCTGTGTTGTCAAATTGCACAGAGAACGCTGATCATCAACAGGCAACACAACCTGATATCTCCCTTGGAGCTTTTGTCCATAATGTCAACCAAGATCCTTCTCTGAATTCTAATGAAGATTCTAGGAAGGAAAATGAGACAGATCATGCCACAAATTTGCTGTCAGGCACTTGCCAGGCTCAGGTAATGTTGAGTGATTTGATTGAGAAAATGGATGATATGCGTGTATCTGTATCCTTTTGGCAACTCTAACATAGTAGTCCTTTTTTTTTATCAGAAATTTCTCCTCCTGTTCTGTTGTATCCCAGCTTATATGCTCAATCTTTGAATTCTTGTTTGGCTTTCCATTCATCCTATGGGGACTATGGGGCAGCAGCACTTGTGCTATGTTTTATACCTTTATTTTTAGGACCAAGCAAGTTTTTCCTTGCCATAGGGATTCTCGGTAACTGCAAGATACTCAATTACTTTAAATATAGTCACTCTGCTAAAGTTGTGTGATTTTCTTAAGTTGCTGTATCTATCATGTTATCCTCTGATATATCAGGAAAATATTTTTAATATGCTTCATTTCTGTTAGTTTGTTTGAACCTTAAATTCTCATATTTGTCATGTTTGAAAGTGTAAAGAACTTACATCTGAAACACACGTACTTAGTTGACCTGCTTTTTTTGTGGTTGAGGGTAGTTGAAGTTGATTTACTTCTGATTTCTTTTTCAAAGGGAAGAAAAAATGTTAATTAATACTAAACATATGTCTCACACTCTACTACATGGGAGGGGGTGATGATATTTGGACACGAGGATGTTCATTAGCTGAAAGGATTTTAAGTTGGTTATTTTGAGTGCATGAAATATGTTCAAGTCAATATGTAGGCGCGATAATGGTTGCCATTTCTCTTATTAGGTTGACTGCCACCAAAAACGTGGCATGCACAGACGCTGTTTGGTTTTTGAAGTAGCTAGTGTTTCTAAAAGGAATATGTACAGTGACTTGGACCTCAATCCTTCAACTTCTTTTCCATCCAAAGGCAAGAGAATTTGCGATGGCAACAACTTGGAGCCTAAAATTAGTAGGTCACTGTGTGCTTTATCTGGTATTGGGTTACATTTGAACACTCTTGCTACAACATCAAAGGATAGAATGGTCAACAAAGAGACTCTTTCTACTGGGAAACAACCGATCAGTATCCCATGCTCTATTGATCCCTTTCCATCAACAACAGCAGAGGACAACAGTCTGAGGAAGCCCTTCTCTGCTGAAAAGGATCTTCGTCCTAGCGGTAGTGAACTTGACCCTCAGATTATATCTTATGATGCTCCAAAGGATGGCAAACCAAATAATAGTGAGGAGCTAAATCAAGGTAGTCCAAAAAAGAAGAGGTATGTTGCATATGCTGCTATATGTCTTCCTGATTATCATGACCTTTTGTTCTTCACTATATCAACAACAATGGAGTTTCATGATCTAGACGCAAGTCAGAAAATGGAGGTGAAAGTGAAGGATGCAAGCGTTGCAACTGTAAGAAGTCAAAATGTTTGAAACTGTGAGGCTCTTTTACTTCATCTGAATATTTTATAGATATGCTTATTAAGAACTTCAAATTGCAGATTTACCCTTTATATAGCAGCCTGCTTTCACAGCACTCCAGAAATAGTTTCAAATTATTTGTTGCTTTTACAAGAAAGTAAAAGTACCTGATACGTCTTACCAAACAAGAAAATCAAGATTAACTATTTTAATTTTAACTTTACCATTATTTCCATTGACATGTTCTGCTACTTATGACTAAGCATGTAAGTATTCTGAAGTTCTGGTCTTGGTTTGTTGACATCTTATGTAGCTACTGTGAGTGCTTTGCTGCTGGAGTTTACTGTTCTGAGCCCTGTTCATGTCAAGGATGTTTTAACAAGCCAATCCACGAGGAGACAGTCCTGGCTACTCGCAAACAGATAGAATCTCGCAATCCACTTGCATTTGCCCCAAAAGTAATTCGAACATCTGATTCTGGTCTGGACATGGGGGTAAGAATCTCATCTACTGCTATGCTTCTGTTGTTTCTTTCCTTTTTTCCCACTCTTGTTTCTGATGGGATCATTCCTTTAATACCTCTAGGATGATGATAAAAAGACTCCTGCTTCGGCACGGCATAAAAGAGGGTGCAATTGCAAAAAGTCAAATTGCCTGAAGAAATACTGTGAATGCTATCAGGTCTTGTGGCTTGGGCTTGGGCAACCACTTGCTTTTACTATAGTGTGTTATCTGATTTGGACATGCATGTTATTTTTAGGGTGGTGTTGGATGCTCAATCAGCTGCAGATGTGAAGGATGTAAGAATTTGTATGGAAGAAAAGATGGTGAGTGTTGATATATGCCATTCATTCTCCCAAGTTATAAAGCAAGGTAGCTGCTTAGGGGAATACCATTTATTTGCTTCTTTGATAAATTGCAGAAATTTTTAGGTTTCTCTTTGAGTTTTAGTTTTGAACGTCATGGCCTGCAACACATAAAAAGCAATTGCATAATTCATATTCTGGTCAGACTTTACCTTGTTTTTTTCCATACAGTGAACTAAGATGAGAAAAGAGTAGGGTCTGTAACTTGATAATTCATACTGGATCAGCCAAGTTAGAAGAGATTATCAATGGGAAAATTAACAAGGGTGTCCTGGAAACAATGTTGTTGTATCTAATTTTTCGCATTTTACTTTTTCACCAGTTTTTATATATGATAACTGTGCATTTGATATTATTTGACATAGGTTTGAATCAAACATCAAGCCTTCTTAAGCATAACTCCTTGAGAGATAGTCTTTTTGGTTTATTCTGGCCTTACAATTTCTTGACAGGCATTCTGCCAGGTGTTGAAGAAATTGAACAAGTGGAGAAAGAACCTGATGTTTGTGAGAAGGAAAATGAAAGTTCAGATGATGTTCAACTTCACCATGCCACTAATGTTCAGGTTGATGAGCATCATACCTATGGAGAAGTTCTACCCATAACACCTTACCAACATTGCAGGTGAGACACTTTCATCGTTGTTTTGATAGCATAGTCTATTGATTTTCGCAGAAGCAGCTGCAAAAAAAAAAAAATGTATATATATTACTTTCAGGTTGTCTGTTGAACTGCCATTTTCTTCAAGTGCAAAGCCCACACGACCTACTAAGCTTTCCATTGGACGTTCTCCTGGATTATATGGCTTTCACATGCTTCAGAAGTCTGAAATCATTCTCCCCCAACCCAAGTTCGAAAACAAAGGCAGCACAGTTCTTGAGGATGACACTCCAGCTATTCTAAAACCCATTGCATCACCAACCATGGGTGTAAATATTTCCTCCCCTAATAGAAAGAGGGTGTCACCTCCACACAATGGAGGAGTTGGATCATCACCACCAAACCGTAAAGGTTGCAGGAAACTGATACTGAAATCTATCCCCTCCTTCCCTTCACTTACTGGTGATGCATCCACTGAGAGCCCAGTGAACTATTCCAACAGCTGACGGATCCTTGGTATCATTTCGACAGATTATTCTCTTTCGATTCCATGCTTTGTATCTGAAATATTTGTAGAATTGGCTGCCTGCCTGCCTGCATGAGTTTGATGTGGTCATCGGTTTGCTGCCGCCGCAGTGGTCGTATGAGACTCTTAACACTTTGGCAAACTCAAGCAGTCCGTCTCGGTAAAGATAAAATGTTTTATTACGAGTAGTCGTGTTGAAGTAGCAGACAGCTTGTTCTACAGTATACCTTGTAACGAGATGTTGTTCGACATTCCTGTATGTTTATTACGGAGGATCTTTCTACATGTCTCTACCTTGATCCTATGGTGTATATATTCATAGCTCAATCATCGTGATTATTGTCCTTTTCCTGTTAATTGTTCTTTCATTTCTCAAGGCAGTGGTAGAACAGTCCAGTGGACTGTGCTGATGCATGGATCTAGTTTGCTAATGGTTAATCTGCATGATAGAGATGTAAATGCTATTATTTTGATTTATTGTAATCGACAGTGTCATGCTATATTGAATGCCTCGCAACTTAGGACCATCTAATGTCCTACACTTATTTTGATACTTTGATCAGAGATGACGAAACAAGAGAATGCCTTTGGAGAAGACATGGTTGGCACAGATCATCTTCGTATGTTCTCAGCCTGTTGATGGACTATTAACTGGAGATTACATGATCCCCCACATACTATGGAAATTTCATGTATTGTTGGGAACCATAGACATGGTTTAGAAGCAGGCATGAGATGTAGCCAAAGCAGAACAAAGCAACGTGGACCAGCCTCAGATTCCTTGTGCACTCCTCTTCTACCTTTGGATAATATAGTAGCAGTTCCTGTGGCAGTGACGGAGAAGTGTCCATGTATCTTAATGGAATTACACAAGGTAAAAAGCATTTAGCAGCCATGCATGGAGTAAGTAAACACAGTAAAAGCTTGAAGAAGAGTTACTGTACATGTATTGTTTTGTGTTGTCCAAGAGCTTCCAAACACAATCCATCCCTCCAAAAAAAAATACGATATAAAGAGGATGAATATGATAGCTCAGCAACAGGACAGAAAGAAGAATTAAAGAAGAGAGAAGAAGAAGAAAAAACTAGTCGAAATAAAAGGCTCAGTTCCAGTCTTGGCAAAGCTCAGCAGCAGTAAACTAAAACAGGGACATGGCTGCCATTTTCCATATTCTATCGTCGTTTTCCAACCAGGACAAGTAGCTGGATCTCGACCGGTAATTGTTTTCTACCACCTCATCAGTACCCGAAACTGTACCTGCTCTGTGACTGGATATAACTGTGGCCATTAGCGGGCCCCGCAAATATCACGTGGCCCTTCCTGTAGAGTAGCATCGGCGACTGTGACTCGTCGTACGTGGTGTCAATCATCCCCCGTTCTTCCGAACCGGCCATCAGTTGAGCAACCGGCTTTAGTCACGACTCCGACTGCGACACGTCCCTGCTACAACCTCTGTTCGCACCACGTCGTCGTGCCGGTCGCTTAAGTCGTGTGCAAAGCCGGTGTCTCTCTCCGTCCCTTGGACTTCCCCCCTCTCCTGTGCTGCTGTTGAAAGAGAGACGGGGAGGATAAACGAAGCCAAAGCAAATCAAAAGAGTTTGAATCTTCATTCCTCTACTCCTCAACCCACTTTGCCGCCTTTCTTTCTCTCTCTCTCTCTCTCTCGTACTTCAGAATGCGATCGAGTCTCGAAAGTTTCGGATGAGGAGGAGAAGAAGACCATGACGACGACGACGACGAAGAAGGTAGAGTGAAGAGTTCTTTTCCTCCGTCCATCCCAACATTCCACCAACAAATTCGCGTTCTTCGCTGAGATTAAACTCGATTCACCACGAACGCTGCAGTTCTGAGCCTTACAAAACGTGCTCTGCTTTCTCCTATCACCAATTCATCTTGATGTTGTGATTTGTGGTTCTCTTCTCCTCCTATTCCCGTCTTTCTTTTTTGTTTTCTTGAACTGTTTTGGGGTTTTACTGTTCCGAAAATGAATCCATTGTGTTTTCTTGGGTTATTTCTGTTTCCTTGTGGCTTTAACCTATTGATTTAATTCCTTTTTGTGGTTTAATCCCGTAAAGAGATGCGGGTTTCTTGAAACGCTTGGTTTCGGTAACGGAAGGAAAGGTTTGCTTTGTATTGTGATACAGGAGTGAGTAATCTTTTGGGTTGAGCGACGAGTGGTTCCCAAATGGAGCAGTATGAGGTCTTGGAGCAGATAGGGAAGGGAGCATTCGGGTCGGCTCTGCTGGTGAGGCACAGGCTTGAGAATAAGAGGTGAGGGAAGGCACTCGGCCATTCATCTTTCTATTTCCGTTCTTGTGCTGCGACCTCATTGGTTTTTACAGGTATGTGTTGAAGAAGATCCGTTTGGCTCGCCAGACCGATAGGTGCCGTCGATCTGCTCACCAGGAAGTGAGCGTCTTTACTTGGTCCACATTGAGCAACTCTTTACGCTGATTAGTTCTATCTATGCATTATCAATCATCATTGGTTTCTTGTTCCCATTAGTAGTTTGGACTCCCGAGTTAGAGTTCCTTTTCCATTTCAGATTCTGTAGTGGGAGACTGTTCTTTATCTTCTCCCTTAAAATGGAGTCGCACAGTTGCTTCTCTTTTATGGCAAAGCCCATTTCCCCCTCCTTAGGGGGAATTTGACATCACCCTTGAAGTGTTGACCGTGAGTTGTTTCTTGGTGGTTTGGTTCTCGAGCAAGAATTGTTTTTGAAAGGTGGCCCTATGTTTGATGGGAAAACGGAGGCTTGTATCATATGATGATGATGGTGGCGATTTCAGTTGTTTGCTATGCATGTAGCACATAGCAGTCACTTTGTTGCCACATGATAACACGTCATCAGAAATGGGTGAATATATTTGATTTATTGCTTTTATCTTTGTTGGTTTTGCAGATGGAGCTCATTTCCAAAGTAAGAAACCCATTTATTGTGGAGTATAGAGATTCTTGGGTTGAAAAAGTTAGTATATTTCTCCTCCTGACCAAAGATTTGTTACTAAAATCTGCCTTTTGATTTGTTCCATATGTATATATATATATATATATATATATATATATATATATATATATATATATATAGTATATATATGTGTATATACACATATATATACAGACACACATATACATATATATATATATACACACACACATATATATACATATATATATATATATATATATATATATATATATATCACACAATATCACATGAATTCTTAGTTGGATTTGTAACACCCCTGATTAGTCCCACATCGAAAGTGGGCAGGATTAAGATTGACTTATAAGGGTCTAATGAGTGTACTACTATTAACTTCAGCTTAAGCATTTTGGTTAGTGGTTTAAACCAAACGAAAGTTGATAGGCCAGTTAGCCCATCAGGCTCGGGTCATGATATTTGGTATCAGAGCCAACCTAGCATTTGGGCATGGTGAGGAGGCTCGAGTAGGAAAGGGCTACTCGTAGACAGAGCATTTGGGCATGGTGAGGAGGCTCGACAGAACGTAGCCCCACATGCACTATGCTAGACCAAACGAAAGTTGATAGGCCAGTTAGCCCATCAGGCTCGGGTCATGATAGCATTTGTTTGAGACTGTTTGATTCCATGAAATATTTGAGCAAATGAAATATTCTGTGTTTATGCTTGTTGCCATGTATAATTATATCTGATTATTTTCTTGTAATCATGTGTTTGCAAGTAAATAAGCTGATGTTACGATAACTCATTTTCAGATTCATCCATATTTATCGTATCAGTGATATCCTTTTTGACATATAGCTAGATTTCCTACAAGTTGCTTGCCCTATTAACCTGCAGATGAGGGCAGGTGATTAAATAGTCTTACCCAATGGGTAAGGCAGGAAAAAGGTAGAAAAGGTATTTCCCTTTCTACTAGTGGTGAAGTTTAAGGTGATTGAGGTTTGCTGGAATTTGTTCCACAGGAAACTTCCGGCTGAGCTCTTTAATAATAAACTCAGTTCTACACATATACCATGTAATGCACTATATGATGCATATGCACCTTGAGAAAGCCTCTGAAGTTAATTCTGAGAGTTATAATTTCATGCAACATGTCATAAAAATAATTTGGAGGTTGTATTTACTTAAATGACACAGGTGTGGTTTTTATGATGTTTATAGTGGTATATTATTACCATTCTTTGTTCATCTGTTCAGGAATTCTTGTAATTGTTGCATTTTGAGCATTTCATTCTCCATGCCTGTCAATGCAAATGTATATCTTTCTTTTATAACCTTTTTTCCACTTTCAACAGGTATACTCATCTTATAATATTTTGCTTGGTATATACTTATTGGTGGTGACATCATCTACTATCTGTTTCTATTGTTATCATCTTGTAATGGCATACAAACTTTGGTTCCTTTCAGGGTTGCTATGTATGCATTGTAATAGGTTATTGTGAGGGAGGTGACATGTAAGTTTTGATTTCAAGTGAAGTCTAATTGTTGTAAGTTCATCTATTGACACTGGATGTGCAATTGTTTCCTGTGGATGTTCAGGGCTGAAGCCATAAAGAAAGCCAATGGACATCTTTTTCCTGAGGAGGTTGTTTATTTTAATAACAAAGTCTATTATACTTTTTGTACAATACTTGTCTAGTTTCTGCAATTTTCTCTTTTATCTTGCACCCTCAATCTCTTGTTTTGTCTACAACCAGAAGCTGTGTAAGTGGCTCGTCCAGCTCCTTATGGCACTTGATTACTTGCATAAGAGTCATATCCTTCACCGTGATGTAAAGGTAGGCAACATTGTAATGATAATTGCTGTCCTCTTTATGTAATGGGATAATAGATTTATAGATTGTGCCTACTAAATATGTTGTGTTACTGTTTTTTAGTGTTCAAATATATTTCTTACAAAAGACCAAAATATACGGCTTGGTGAGTGTTCTTTTTGTTTGTCAATTGACATCATTATGGTGAATATCATAGTACCATTGAGTTCAAACACAGACATATTAGCTGACATAATTCTTTGAAATTGAATCATTCTGCAGGTGACTTTGGGCTTGCTAAAATTTTAACCTCAGATAATTTGGCTTGTTCAGTGAGTGTTAAAGCTGTTTAAAACAATGCATCTTAATTCATCATGTTCCTTATTTCTGAGAGCTGTTGGCTCTTGATGCAGGTTGTTGGAACTCCTAGTTATATGTGCCCAGAACTTCTTGCTGATATACCTTATGGCTCTAAGTCTGATATCTGGTCTCTAGGTAATGTGCCTCTTACTTAGGGTACAAAGATAACATTTCCAGCTTTCTAGAACCAGCTAGGATTTAAAGTAGATTTTCTTGATTATCCAGGCTGTTGTATCTACGAGATGACTGCTCTGAAGCCTGCATTTAATGCTTTTGTAAGTTTCAGCAAATTTGATAATGTATTTGCAAATGTATTACTCTAATTTGGGTTTTAAAACACTTTACGTTTTGAGATTCAGTCTTTTTCTGAACAATCCCTTGCAAATTGTGATTTCATCCATTTCTGAATCCATTGTTTAGTCTTGTTGAGTATCTTTTAGATAATAATTTAGTATCAACCTTTTGGGTTTGTCTAAATGGATCATACCCCATAATTTAGATATATTACTATATAGAACAATGTCCTTTAGTGGTCAGACAAGGCGCTGAATTCCATTGCTTCAAATGAAAAGAAAATAAAAATCTTCAAGGAGCTGAAAGGGGAAAGGAGATAATAATTTCGATACAGAAAAACCTAGTATTACTTGGGTACGTGACATCAGAGTCTTGTTCGGCGATGCCATAAGACGTTTATAATGTTAATTTGATGAAAAGTTAGACAGTAGCTATGCCAAGCACCGTGGGGTAAATTTAATTAATGAAACATCCAAAGGGAAGCAATGGCAACATTCAGATGGAAAAGGCTTTAAATAATAAACTCATAATTGGTGGATTACATGCAAAAAAACCCAAATTGTTTGCAGAAACTAGTCGCTTCAGTTATCAGAATGATATTTTTTTGTTTAATCATTTGCTTTACTATTCATTTGATAGAATTAGTTAAAACTACTCAATGAACTTGACTATTTGTAACCTTTTCTGCATATATCAAATTTCTGATTCATGATAAAATTTGTTTTCAAGTTAGATCTAAATTCTGTATTAATACCTGGTTGCCACTCTGGTAGTATGATTCAAATAATGAAACGAAAATATAAATGGTTCTTTTCTTTTTTATGCAATCATTATTGTCCCGTAATCGCCACTTATATTAACTTTGCCTATATTTTGTTGTTCATGCAGGATATGCAGGCTTTGATAAACAAAATCAACAAGTCCATAGTGGCTCCTCTACCAAGTTCATACTCCGGTGCATTGTAAGCCTGGTTCCTCTCTCATTTTGAGATTTTCTCGACTTAGTTGTACACAAAATACTAGTCTATTTTTGACATATCTTGATTATTGTGTGCAGTAGGGGACTCATTAGAAGCATGCTGAGAAAAAGCCCTGAACATAGGCCAAGTGTATGTATTCAGACAAGCATTGTACTCAAGTGCTGAAAGCTTCTTCAATCTTCAGCTATACATATAAGAAGTTTCTGTTTACATGATTCTTTCAAGATTAACGAAAGCTAATGTAACTGTTTGTACCAACAGGCTGCAGAACTGCTCAAACATACACATCTTCAACCTTATGTGTTTGAAGTCAATCTAAAGTCTAGCCCTACAAGGAATATGCTCCCTATTCACCTTTCTACGAGCAACATAAGGAGAATTAGATTTCAAGATGATGAAGATGACTCTATGTATGATGACAAGGAGAAAAGAAAATCTTTAGGCAATGAGAGGATCCTAAAACTGAGCAAACATTTGGAGCAAGGCTCGATATATTCGACTCAGACTATTAAGGATTTTCCAAACTATCTGGACCAAGGGATAAAGGATCTTTCAATTGGCATTAGTCAATTTGGGGAGATTAGTGACAAAAGAATCAGTGAGAAGCACTCAGGTACTCTGAAGACCCCAATGTACAAGCCTGCTAAAACCTTCATGACTCCTAGGATGCTAGTGGAGCCCTCAGAATCATTGCACACTGGACCAAGGCATCAATCAGTATGGTCATATATACTCCTGCTCATATGTTCACCATTTAATATAATAATGATCTTATTCTTTATTAGAAAGCCTTTAATCTGAGCTTTTGAATATAAAACATTCTTTCCCTCTTGATAGTAAAAACTTCTATGAGCTGTCACATAGATGTCAGATCACATACCATAGCATATCTGTTTTGTTGTTTCTTTTATTGATGGACTCTAATCCTTTGCAATGATTAATGTCATATGCATGTTAATCTCTAGGAGTAATGTAGCGGCTACTTTTTATTTGTCACAGGCATGTTAATGATTTCGTGATAGTGATAACGATTGTCAGAATGAGAGTTGTTTTATTTCTCATATCTGTTTAGAGTAAGTTCAGTATCAGTGCTTGTTAATCACATTTCAACTGTGTATAATGTTCTAGCTAGTTGATATACTTTGAGTCACATGAATAAACATTTTCGATATGAGCTTTAATCCAATAACTAGTATTTAAGCAGATGCCACTATTCTTTTATGTATGTCACTTCATTTATCACTGTACTTCCAACTAATCATACGTTTTATGCAGCTTGCATTTCTATCTCCATCAGATGGAATTGGCAAACCTTCTCGAAGAGCTTCTCTTCCTTTAGCTACATTCGAGTCTCATCCTACATGCAATCTCAGCATTCTCCGCCGGGCAGAATCCCCCGATGTCTCAGTCAACTCCCCTCGAATAGATAGAATTGCAGAATTCCCATTAGCTTCATCATCTGAAGATCCTTTTTTATCGATTCGGAAACTCTCCTCAGCTCACGGCTCCTCTTCAGCCACCCCACACCATGCAGACCACTCAATCACCAAGGACAAGTGCACTTTCCAGACTTTCCGAACTGAAGGTGACAATGGGAGCGATTCTTCAGACAGGAATCCAACAGCTGCAGATGCTTCTAGTCGGGGATCATCAGACGCAAGGCAGAGGAGGTTCGACACCTCGTCGTACCAGCAGCGGGCAGAGGCCCTGGAGGGGTTGCTTGAATTCAGTGCTCAGTTGTTGCAGCAGGAGAGGCTTGAGGAGTTGGGGGTGTTACTGAAGCCATTTGGTCCTGGTAAAGTCTCCCCAAGGGAGACAGCTATATGGCTGGCCAAGAGCTTCAAGGAGACAATATTGTGACTCAGTGACTTACTGCCTGCTGCATAAAGACCCAACTGAAGGAGCTCATATACCTTATCGGCACTAGCTCGCGGAGATCATTGCATCAACTTTGTAATGTGACGTAGCTTGATAGGATGACAATTTAACTTGAGATTAGCTGCTGATACTCTTTCAAACAAAGCATGTACTGTACTGATGTCAATGTTATTTCAGCTTTTATATCATGCTCTTCTGTTGACAAGTGCCTTCATTTTCTTGCTTGAATCTGGGAAATTTTCATTGGAGAACATTGATTTTATTGATGGCACTCTGCCTGCTCCTATAAACTTAGTTTCGGGTTTGACTATGTGCTTGCCAACCTTCAAGGTTTTGATACCTTTGAATAAATCCTAATGTGCCCAGATTGGGTCCTAATTATTCATGTGACACTGATATTAGTAGACCTCCAATGTTCCCATTGGTCCCATGTATGTATGTATTAAGTTGGTCCTTTGTTGGCACTGATATCTTCATGTAAATGGATCGAATACAATCCAATTAGGCTTCTAAATGGATTGGATCCGACCCTGTTCGGTACTTGATTAGAGATTTGAGCTAAATTTAGTATAATTCGGATCACATTTGGTCTAATGACTCAAATAAAAGTTAATTGGATCTAATTTGGTTTTAATTAGATTTGTTAGAGGAAAAAGTTGTCGGCATTCTGGTCAGTCCAATATAGTTCGGACCTGTATACACATGATTGCCTGAGGTGCTTTCGGGGTGAAAATGTTGAGCTCTCGAGCTGCCACTTGCACAAGAATCAAAGTTAGGAAAATGTTTCTTGACCTAGTTTCAACGACACCTAAGTTAGTAACTCGAGTACGGATGCGAGTGATCAAAAAAGGTCTCGCCCCCTTCATTATGTTGAGAATATGTTTTTATACCTGATTGCAGAGGGGAGATATTCTCTAACCACCCCAATGGTCCCCTTTTGACCTCTTGTCCACATGGGCAACAAGAAGGGGACAACCTTGAACCGCCTGCCTAAGATCTGTTTTGAACTATTGTCTGTGTGGACAAACGGGTGGAAGGTGACATGGATCTTTTCCTCCCACCGATGACTCAATGTGACGTTTACGTGTCGGATGATGATTAGTTGATAGTGCACTCCATATCATTTGTGACTTTAAAAAGAGGGCCTAAACCTTATGATGGGCGCTATGGAGGAATCGAGTCAGAAAACCACTCCCGACCTCGATCTTCATGCAGGTGACATCTCGGGAACTCAACATTTTTATCTTGGAGGCACATCGGATAATCCTGCACAAACGAGTACGAACTACGTCAGGTTGACCAGGACATCAACGACTTTTTTCCCTAACAAAATCGAGCCTAAACCTTACGATAGGCGTTATGGAGGAATCAGGTCAGAAAACCTCTCCCGACCTCGATCTTCATGCAGGTAACATCTCGGGAACTCAACGTTTTTATCTTGGAGGCACCTCGGATAATCCTGTACAAACGAGTACGAACTACGTCAGGCGGACCAGGATATCAACGACTTTTTTCCCTAACAAAATCGATATTGGATTATCCTCCTCATACATTGATGATCAAAGCTGCATTAATTTGGAAACCAGTGACAACAATAACTAAGAATTTTGTGTTTGTAGTACATGATTAGCATGAGTCCAGCCAAAGATATAAATTCCTTTGTTGCTTCCGAGGATGAAAACTATAGACATGAACATAATCCCTTCTCTTTGGGCACCAAACATCAGAAGAATGAGTTCATAAACAGAAAAAAATGGTTTTAACCAAGGTCATGGCAATTCCTCTTGAATGTTCATAAGACGAACTGAAGATACATAGAATTTTCATACATCAAAAGAGAAAAAAAAGAAAAAGAAAAAGAAAAACCAAGACAGGTTGACTAAGAATGCTCGCTACTCATTTTGTCGTCATGGTCACCCCATCTTTTCCAGCAATTATGACAGCAGTTGCCATGTCCAAGAACAATCCATGTTCCACAACCCCTTCAAGTGCTGAAATCTCCTTTCCTGCAGCTGGTGCATCTTTAATTGGTGTCTTAAAGTACAAGTCAACGATATAGTTTGAATTGTCAGTGACATAAGGCTTCCCGCCATCATCCAATCTAAGCTTCGCCTCACATCCTTCTTCTTTAAACAATTCCTGCAACCTTGTCTGGTTGTATTTCCAGCAGAACTGCACAACTTCCACTGGCATCGCCAGCCCACTTCCACCCAATCCAGTTACAAGCTTTGTTTCATCCGCCACCACGACAAACTTATCAGATGCTGCCTCAACCATCTTCTCACGAAGTAGAGCTCCTCCACGTCCTTTGACAAGATTTAGGTCTGGGTCCACCTGTTCCAATCCCAAATCAGTCTGTAGAACTCGAACAAAGATGCTAATTGGTATAGTATGAGAGTCATACTGTTTAACATCAACACATTATATCATAAGGTTGAAAAGAACCAATCATCCTCGCAGGCTAGCTATTAGCATCATAAGTGTGTCTATTGCAGCTCAAGAACTAGTGAGAATGAGCATGTGCAGTAGGTACTCATTTGAACTTGAGACTATAATTTGTCTACAAGTTAAATCACTTCATCAAGATTAAACCCAAATAACACAAATTCCATTTTTTTCCAAGATTTTAAAACACATAATGATTCATTTGCAAATTATGAGGTAATGAATGCTCTAATTTAGAAAATGTTAACCACAGCAACAACAAGACTCAGGTAAGGCAAACATTTATCATATCAGGGGTCCAACTTAGCATCTACCTCTCACCCTGTTCGACTAAACAAAAAAACGCTTCCAGCTGAGTGTTGAATTGCTTGTAATAATACAGCAAAAAATGGCTTCTCCTTTATGAGTTGTACATATTCCAAGATTCAGTTCAATCAACAACCAAGACCTACAAGTTTCCATTAGATTAATCCTTTATTTGGATAAAATGTATCATTATCTAAATGTAAACAGCATACCAAATATTTTTCTCCGATACTAAAATCCCACACTCCAACTTAACATTTACTTATCACCCTGTTCGACTAAACAAGAAAGACTTATAGCGAGATGTTGAACTGCTGAGAATAAGAAAGCAAAAAAAAAAGAAAAAAAAAAGGAGCTACTCAACTATAATGTCTACATATATCAAGAAAGCCTTTATTTGGATTAAAAGGTCTAATTATCTAATGTACAAAGCAGAGTATATCTTTTTTCTTCACTAAAATCCCACCGGAACTATTGGCGATCCCCTAACAGGCAATCTTTCTGAAACTTATGATCAGATGCGCCCAGAGAACCAGCTCTTTGCTGCAATTCTCAATGTCCAAAAATATTCAATATCAATTCAATGAAGCACTTCACGAGCATTATCAACACGAAACTACCAAACTTAGATCCGTAAACACCCATTAAATCGATCAAGTAGAAGCTTAATAGAGGAAAAGAAAAATAGGAATCAAATTCCGATATCTATTTACAGTGGGCAAGGTCAAATGGTTACTACTCGAGCCTAGTCAACAACGATGACTGAAAAGTCAAAGACAAACTTTCTTCCAAAGAAGACAAAAAGGAAGGAGGGAATTTGACCTCATCGGCACCATCGATGGCGAGATCGATCCGCGGGTGGTCGTCGAGGGTGGAGAGCGGAATCCCCAGAGACAAAGCCTGCTCATAGGTGCGCTTGGACGTGGGCACGCCGACGATGTCGCTGAGCTTGCCCGACGAGAGGAGGGCCCCGATCTCGGCGACCACGAAGGCGGCGGTGGAGCCGGTCCCGAGGCCGAGCACCATGCCACTGCTGACGTACTCGACGGCCTTGACTGCGGCGAGCTTCTTGAGGTCGTCCTGGGTGAGGGTGGCGGGGGCGGAGAGGGCTCGGACGGGGGCCACGGGGCGGCTGCGGCGGCCGACGGGGAGGGCGTGGCGGCGGAGGAGGAGCAGGGAGGAGGCGGAGGGGAGGAGGGAAGAGGCCGTCATGGTGGGATGATGATGGTGGGCGGAGGCGGTGGAAGATGGAGTGAGAAGGGGGGAGAAGGGCGGGCTATCGCCCCTTTGTAATGGGTTTGGAAGGGGATTGAGTGGTGGTGGTGAGGATTGGGGACTGCGGAGAGTGGAGATTCGTATTTGGTTGGTGGTGGTGATGGTTTATTTATTTATTTATTGTTTGTTCATCATTTTAAATTTAAATCATATATATATATATATAGAGAGAGAGAGAGAGAGAGAGAGAGAGAGATTACATATATTGAAATTGTAATGAATATTATTAGTATTTTAAAAAGAAAACATTAAATCCTTTGTTACATACAGTTGATGCTCAAAATTGCTCACTTATAATCATAAACCTTCGTTCATTACCTTTTTATTATGTGCACTTGCGGTGTGGATACAACAAATATGAAAGATTTAAAAAAAGATAGAAGAGCATTACAATATCTACCATTCCACCTATTAAGTCAGATAAAAGTGATGAGATGTAAACAATAGAGAAATCTCTTCCCTGTAGCTTCTTCAGAATGCTTTTTGCACTGTTTCTAGTATAAACTCCCCGGAAAGAAATCTAACCTTGAATCTATTGCTGTTGCCACATCCTTGATTGTCCACATCAGTGCATCATCAAGGGTTTTGCAGGGCAACACAAGGCTGAGGTCGCACTTTGAACTGAACAGTTTGGTTCTCCCACAGCCAACAACAATCCGAATACAAGGTTTCAGCACCTGTACAAGTTCATCGTCCCCAAGGCAACAAGTCTCAAACGACGCCAGGAGGCAGATGAAAGTGACTGCTAATCGACACAGCAGCACATATTTTGAACTGTTATCAGGTTTCTTACCTATATATTGGTTTCACTAAATATAGAGCAGTTACATGATGGTAAGCAGAGATACCAATTGGCTTATGAATCAACACTATTGAACACGGTTAACAGTGCCGTGAACAGGTTGATGATGTCGAGATACAGGGAGATGGAAGCACAGATGTATTGGTCGTAGGAATGTCTTTTGATCAGATTGTCGGTATCGTATATGATGAAACCAGAGAAGATAATTGCTGCCACACACCCGTAGATTGTTGTCGAGACCTTCCCCATTGGGATGAAGATCTGCAGGAATGTTGATAGCAATGAGAGGCTCAGACATTACATAGAAGAAAAGAAGAGCCAAAAGAGAGGCCACTAACCTGGATGATACAGTACAGCATCAGCACGATAAGAGCTGCACACAAGAATGGGCCGAGGAAGTTGAAGTCATAGCCTCTTTTGGCTGCCCAGAACGTGTAGAGGGTGAGACCCACAACCACTGTTGCTGTTAGAGCTGCAGATTGTAGCACTATTTTGCCTGCTCAAGTAATTATAGTAAGTCACTCATTAGCCCTAAGAATGCCTGGCATGCACTAAAGATTTAGTTGTAAAGTTTGAGACTTCTGGTGGGTAAACAAGCAAAGAAATTATTATCACAAGTTAAACAAATAGCTATACTTAATCAGACACAATCCAAAAGTATGGAAGTCATAAAACTAAAATGATTTCTCGAAAAGCAAAAACGCTAAACTTATAAATAACAATAGCAACCAAACCCGTACACAATACCTAAGCTGCAAAACTTGTAAATTACTAACAACCGGGAGGACATTGGTGTACAATCAATTATTATGAAGCTTGATACACATCAATTACGGAAATGGTGCTCAACAACAGAGGATAGCGAAGGATTCCAATTGTTTGGCTTACTAGACCAGGATAATGCAGCTTCTAGATTTTCCATGGATAACTACACAACAAGAATCCTCAAGGCAAATCAATATTATAAACACAAATGGTTGCAATTCTTGTAGTGTGAACCTATTATGTGACAAGAATGCATTGTCATGATACATATGGATAATTATAAAAGAAGTCTTAAGGTAAATCAACATTATGAATACATGATACCTAAATGGTCGCAATTTTTAGCATGTGAACCTATGATTTTACACACCTAAATAACTAAGACATATATGCATTGTCATGATATGTACCAATGACAACATAATTTTCATTGAAAAGAAAAAGAATAAGAACAGATGCTCATAAGGAAAGCAGCATCAGAATTAAGTGGAAGCCCATATGCTAGTATGGCATTGACATTGGATCAGAAAGCTAGCTGCTTTACAGAAGAACACTTATCATCAGGAATCAATTAATTACAATAGTTTGCTAATCACCAAGTACATGGTCAAACCCTTGCTCAATCAACAGTAACTGTGTAGGTTCCCAGAAGACAATATAATTAATCTCGACCGTAGATTTTCCTTTTCCAACATCAATACCATGCTAGCATATGGGCTTCCACCAACTGCGCTAGAAGAAAAAAGAATTCCATCCTTTGTTGTGATCATTTTCTAATGTCATCATGCAAGAAATACTAGAGCAACAATAATAAAAGAATCACAATTTCTTTGTCCTTGTCAGTATTGAATAAAAGATTCATGCAATCGACCCTAAATAGTTGATATATCACGGTACTATTTCTGTTGTTGTAATTTCTTATTGATATAAAATTCAAAATTCAAGACAATTTTACCTCAAATTAAACATCTTATTTGATATAACACGGTAATGTTGCTGTTGTTTTAATTTTTTATTGATATAAAATTCAAAATTCAAGACAATTTTACCTCAGATTAAACATCTTAGCCTCTTTAGGCAAATAAAAAAGATCATTTTGGTAATTGTTATGGTTTCTTTTTCCCCGTTACCTTTGGAAGTCGCGCATGCCATCCCAATAGCCAAGCTGATGCAGATCGTGAACAGCGTGAGAAGAAGCAGGTTCAGGGGATGGCGCTCGCGGAAGTAGATCATCGGCAACAGAACTGTTCCATTTCGGGAGACCAGAAGGGGGTCGAACAAATCCACATCAATCCCTAGAAATTTACCGCCCGAAACAAGGAGAAACGTGCCCGAGAATTACCGAGAAAAGGCGAGATGATGATGAGGATGTAGACGACCAGCGAGGCGGTGGTGTGGGAGAGGAGGAAGCTGCGCACGGGCTCGACGAAGTTGACGACACCGGCGACGGCAATCGTGAGGAGGATCTGGAGGGCCACGATGGAGTAGACCTTGCGGATGAACGCCCACCGCAGCTGCGGGCTCTCCATCATGTTGGGGTACAAGGCCGATCCGCCGCCGTAACCGGTCTCGATGTCCCCTCCCTTCTTCGTCATCTCCGGCGACGATTCTAGGTCTTCCGAATCGAGAACAAGAACTAGGGTTTCGGAGGAGATTACTGGGAAGAAATGTAGAGATAGAAAGGGAGGAGGAGGAGGGAGACGAACGATCACTGGCGCGCGAGTTTTAGGGGGGGTGTTTCCAATTATGTGCAGACTGGCCGTTGGTCTCTCATGCACGGATTTAGTAAACGCGTTCAAACTGCAGTCGGATCCTCACCGCCCATTGGCTTGAGATTGGGAGGGAGTTGCCCGACATCCAAAAATATGGAAGGCCAATTAATGCGACGGTGTGATTTTACCACATTATATATATATATATATATATATATATATATATATATATATGACATGAAAAGAATAGTATACACGGAACCAAAGACTTTCAAAAGTGAATGATAAAATAGTGTAAGTCTCATTTCCAAAGCAGGTAGTTATAGATTATAATTAGTTATTCTTAGTATTTCGATTCTTATATTTTTAAAATTTATATTCAAATATCTAAACTTATGAAATTGAAATACTGAGATCCCTATGTAAGATTAAGAATATAATTTTATAATATTAAAAATCAAAAGAGAAAGAAAATTTATTAGATCAAATATTTTACTTTAAAAATATAGAAATCTAAATATAATTTTAAAAATACAGAAATCAAAATACTAAAGATAGTTAATTACAGAAATAATATATAATTAACCCTTTAGAAGCCAACAGTTCCTCAAGGCTACAAGAAGTTCCTAAGGATAGTGTACCTTATCAGCAAAGCTCCAAGCTCATGGTCCTGAAACCCCCATACCATATGTGGGGAGGGCCACTAATTCTGCTTGCGCCAAGCATGAATGGATGAGAAATTTTAATGTGCTGAAAAGTAAAATGTTGTGCATGAGGTTTCACTGTGTTTGCAGAAGCAGAACATAGAACAACGAGCATTACAGTTTATATATTTCGTGAAGAAGTTACACCAAAGCATACCTTATCATCGACTGACAACTTACTACTGTATGTTGTGCTATTCAACCTTTAATGACGGAAGAAAATTTGACATAATATCATAGGCAATATATCTGATAGAAAATTCTAAGCCGCTAGATTGCTATGTATAGGTGGGGTTTTCGCGTACTTCCAGGTGAACGGCTCAAAAACACTGTGACTTCTATAACCTGCCACCTCTTCTTCGCGGACTGCATCAGATATTTCTTTCAAGTCATCCTCTGTGAGCTTTACTTTCAAAGACCCAATATTGTCATCCAAGTTCCTCAACTTGGTTGTCCCTGAAATGTTGGAAATAAAATTGTCGAGCGAAGCAAATTAATTGTTGGCAGATGCTTGCATAGGTGGGCAAAACATATAATCATATCCACAAGAAAAGGAAAAAAAAGAAGAAGATATGAGTGTGTACAAGTTGCAGTGGCAAGACTATGGACATGTATCTTTGCATCTCACCAAAAAAAAAAAGAAACTTGTGAATTGATAATTAAATTCCAAATTCAAATGTTTTTTTTTTTTTGCCAAAGATAGAGGACAAATGAAATTCATGAATTATACTCGCATGACAGGGAATTTCAAATCTAACATGCTCAGAGATTATTTCACCCAATATCAAACACTTGTATGCTACCAGATGAAGTCAATCTAATAAGCATAGCTATGAAACTCTGCCACCTTCAGGTACCCATCCTGCTTTTCAGGATTGAAAGAGGCCAAGTTAATAACTTCTCATTTTATAGTTTTGTGCAAGGCATGCAAGCATACTTCTGTTTTCTAGGAACTTTCACATGAATAAGCCTTCAAAGTAGCTCAGGCCATGAATATCTTCAAGGCAATGGAACTTCTGTTTGACTCATGACACAAAAAGTTTTTAGGCATGACTACTCTGACAAGTCCATTGTCATTGCATCCTGACCAACTGTTATTTGATCTCCATCTATCATCTTTATGCGATAGATTGCAGTAGGCCCAACCAATGAGCCTTTGCCTACTTGATGATGGCTCCCCTGTTCGACATAATGAGATTCTAGATCTGAGTACTTGTTGAAATGGGAGGTGATGCCTTAGTACTCAAACTGATCAGTGTTATCAAAACATGCAGTTTAAGAATATTTCCTAAATTTTAATAGAAAAGGCCATTATATTGACTAATTTGCAAAAATAACAATCAATTAACCATGGAAATTGTTTTCTGAATAAGTTGGCGTGAGCTTAACAAGTGGGTGCATATGGCTTTTTATCCTAGAAAAGAATCTTATGTTTTATTTATAATTGTCAGACATGTTGCTTCATTATTCTCCATTCATCGAACTTCCAGTTAACTCGTATCTGCCATTGTTTACACAGAGTGTTTAAGCTTTAATGAAAAGCAGAACACTACAATCTACCATTTGATTCATGATCCATGCAGCCCAAAGCACTCAAGATTTACAACATGATAGTGATCCTGACAACAATGCTGATGTCGATGCATGGAGGATCATAGTTTCAATAGAAAAGGCCATTATATTGACTAATTTGCAAAAATAACAATCAATTAACCATGGAAATTGTTTTCTGAATAAGTTGGCGTGAGCTTAACAAGTGGGTGCATATGGCTTTTTATCCTAGAAAAGAATCTTATGTTTTATTTATAATTGTCAGACATGTTGCTTCATTATTCTCCATTCATCGAACTTCCAGTTAACTCGTATCTGCCATTGTTTACACAGAGTGTTTAAGCTTTAATGAAAAGCAGAACACTACAATCTAAGATTTACAACATGATAGTGATCCTGACAACAATGCTGATGTCGATGCATGGAGGATCATAGTTTCAAAACAATTGCTTACCTGGGATAGGAACCACATCATCTCCTTGATGGACAACCCAAGCTAGAGCTAGTTGAGCAGTGGTACACTGGTGCTTTTTGGCGAGGTTCTCCAACCTCACATACAGAACTTTATTCTTTTCAAGGTTTTCTCCAACAAATCTTGGGATGTGGATCTAGCAAAATCATGAAAGGGCAACAAACTGATCATTAGCAACCAGCATCATACCATCTCTACATGACAAAGCACCAAATTTTCTCTAAACGTTAAAGATATGTCATGGTTGGATAAGAGTGTATACCAAAGATGCATTTGAAGGCAACTTTTCTGTAACTCCTCTACCACCGAAAAATCCACGTCCAAGAGGGCTGTATGGAACTATTCCAATGCCAAGTTCCCTGCATGTAAATTGGAAAATGCATTACAAAATTTGTAAAACTTAGAAATTAGACCGTGGCCAAATGTAGTTCAAGATAATTCACTGGACCCAAAAAAATGAAAAGTGACTTGCTTTCTTACCACGGCTTTCATTTTAGAGTTAAAAAATATAAGCAATGTATGTTTATGTGTTTTGAAAATAAACATCGCTTATATGTACTTTCTCCACTTTACTAATTAAAAAATGGAAGAGATAATTTACCGAATTTTCTACTTTGAACACATGCATCTTTGAAAGCAACAAAATGAAGATTCACAAGATACTTGACCTCCCTAATTTGCACACAAATTAAAAGCTGCTACAAACTTCAATTCCCATTCTACAAAGATTTGCATCAAAAGCTATATACTAAGTTTTTTTTTTTTTTCCCTTGTGAATGTGATGTTTCTCATGTGTTGACTTGGATGTTTGGCAAAAGAACATACTTCAGCCTACAGCCATGAATGTGGTTGATGAGAAATAAGGCCACTTGAGACTTTCTAATACCGCAAAAGAGAAACAACTTTGAATATTTTGAAAATGATGAACATCTAATCCAACCTGCAAAGTGGGACTATCTCCTTCTCAATCTCGCGAGTCCAGAGAGACCATTCCATTTGCAATGCGCTGATCGGATGCACCACGTGAGCCCGTCTAATAGTATCAGGGTTAGCCTCTGAAAGCCCGATGTACTTCACCTTGCCCTCTTCCACCAACTTCCTGAGTTCCCCCATCTACCACATAAACAAATTCACAACAACATGGATTATTTTCATATTTCAAAAGTTTAATATTCCAAAGTAACAGAAATCTTGGCGGCTAATCCTTACAGTTTCTTCGATCGGCACGGTCGTATCAACTCGATGCAGATAGTAAAGATCAACGTAGTCCAGTCCGAGGCGCCTGAGGCTTTCCTCACAGCAAGCCCGCGCGTACTCAGGCTTACCACTGATCACTAGACCTGTGGCGTTAATATCCACAATCCCAAATTTTGTGGCTACTTGGATCTTTTCACGGGGCAATTGCTTCAAGGCCTAAAGAAATTGACCAACAACATCAAATTTTTACCCATTCCGCTATCTTCTACAGCAGGCAAGAGGAAGGGGTAAGATCCAAACCTTCCCAAGCAAGATCTCGTTTGTATGAGGTCCATAGACATCAGAGGTGTCAAAGAAGGTGATCCCACTGTTAAACGCGTGCTTGATGATGGATATACCAGCTTCATCACTGATAGGGGCGTTGTACACGCCTGTGAGGCCCATACAGCCAAACCCTAACTTGGACACCTATCATCGCGACAAACAAGAATCTTTGAGACAGCCAAAACCAAAGAACAATCTTTATGCAATATTAAATACATATGTTAAAGATTAGAACTTGTGATCGAAATGGAGGGACGGTGCGACCTCCAATCCCTGGGCGCCCAACTTGACTCTTGGGATCAGGGCATGGGCCTGATCATCCATGGCTTCAGGGTTTGGATCTCAGAAGAGGGGGAGGGGGTTGGCTTTAACGGCTCCAGAACCAGTTTAGTAGCCTTGGAGTGACCCCGGTGAGGTCACCGCTTGCGTAAGCAGGGTATCTGGGAAAGAACGTTCCTCCCTCCCCGCCGCTCCGGTGAGGTCACCGCTTGCGTAAGCAGGGTATCTGGGAAAGAACGTTCCTCCTCCGCCGCTTCGGTGAGCTCACCGCTAGCGTAAGCACGGTGAACTGAGAACTTCCCCCTCTCCTTTTTTGTCCCCCCCCCCCTCTTTATTTTTATTTTTATTTTTATCCTTTTCTTTAACTAAAATGGTGTGAGTGGAACAATTTACAATTTTTTTTGTTTTTTTATGCAAATGTATTGGTTAAGAAATAGATTTCTTGGAATCAAACTGTTAGTAGTATACATGCTTAATTAAATTTCATTTTTTTACATAAATTAGAATAATTTTTAGATTAAAATATATTTAAAAAAATAAGACTATGTAAATATAGAAGAATAGGAAGGGTACAATGTCTCTGTGAAACAAAAGTATGTCTAGAAATATCAAAAATACATCAACTTAAAATTATAGTAGGATGACAATGCAAACTTGGAAGATTTGACAGGAAGAAAACCTGATTTGTGGAGTGCAAGTATGTGAAAAAGTTGTGAGATAGATAAATTATGAAATGGGTGTATGATAATTAGGGATGTGATAATGGGATTGATGCCAAATCCTTGCCATTTATTGCTCTTTTGAGCTTAAAGATTTAAATGATAATATAGCCATGTTTGAATTTAATGTTGGGTCACTTCTACATTCTTTAAAAGTGAGGTTAATAGCTGACCATTTGGGTTAATACCTAAACTAGCTACATTTATGATACACCTATTCTAAGTTTTAGTGAAGAAGCATTGAGAGATTTGGAGGACTAAAATGTCTGTAAACATTAGTAATATCTTGGATCACATTAAATTTTGTATTGCTTTAAGAGAAAAAGACCTAGCAGAGGTACATATTTCTGTAGATTTGTATGGGATAAAGTGGTTGACTTATGAGATTTAGATTCAGATATCTGGAATTCATGATTCTTAAAATCTCAAGCTTTCAAATTATGATAAATGCAAGTGAGCACCTTCTGAATCATGTACTTAATTAGCTCAGTTTTAACAAAGGGATTTTCCAACATTAGGTGCAGATTTAAGTCAACTTATAGTCATATCAATTGTACATGAAGCCTTTAGAGAGAGAGAGAGAGGCACAAACTCTCAAATGGCTCCCTGAATAGATATTTGCATGGCCAAGTGAAGGGTTTTCTTGTTTCTCATTACCTGAGGCAACACCCTACAACTCCATTTGTTGACTTCATAGACAAGGGTTCAGGGTCAAAAGCTAAATCCTTTCCAGGAAAAGTTCATGACAAACCAATGCAAGCAATATCTTAATACATACTTGAAATACCAATTCACTGCATATCTCATCAAATTCTGAAGTCTATACTTGGCTAGTGGCAGGATCTCTCTTTCTCTCTCTCTCTCTCTCTCTCTCTCTCTCTAACGTGGAAACATATGTGACAAGCTTCATTTAATGTCAGGTGGGATCTATCTCAAGTTTCGAGCACAATACTTGACACCTTAACCCTTTTGGACAACCCAAGAAAGAGCAAGATGAACAAGGAAGCAGTGATTTGTTTTAATGCTGAGTTCTTTGCATATCAGTAATATTCATCTATAAATTGATTCTGATCAGCTATAACAGACATCATATCTATCCCAAGATTGCTTACCTAATAAGCAGTTCATAAGCATTTTACTTGGAAAAGTACAGCTAAATAATGCTAACAAATCTATTAGGCTAAGCTTGTAGATAAAAGAAGTGGCAAGAGATTAGCGGATGTCCTTCAACTTCCATCCAAGATCTTGATCATACATCGTTTCTGTTCCTAGAGAAGAAAAGAAAGTGCAGATCTATGAAGTCACTGTGTATGAAAGTCATATCAGTTACATAACATGAAACAAGGGTATACAGAAGAAGGAACTGAGCTGCATTATTTTTATTGGAATGCAAGGATAAGAAACTCTTCAATGACTACTGAACAAAACCAGATTCAGAGCTAATTTTGATTCGGATCTGAGTCTGTGATTAATTTGGCATCAGGAGATCAGTGAGTTGCGAAAGCATCGTATAAAATAACTATGTCAGCTTCGGCAAAAATCTTTCCGACGTTTGAGTTAGTAACTTGAAAAAAAAAAATTGTTCCACTCGAAGAGTTTAGAAAACTATTAGTGAGTTGATGTACATGGGCCCTTTTATGGGGGGCTTTTCTAACCATCGAGATTAAGTGGAGAATTGATTTATGGGATCAGTTTTATAAGATTATCAATTATTACTTAGGCATGAGAAGTCGTTTGAATTCTCATACATTGTGGTTGATGCCATCGTTTCGATCGTGTACGCTACTCATACTACATGTTGGGATAATAAGGCACCGGAGTAGAGCGTGATATATCATCGAGTTGTCCACATGTCACACCTCTTTATCATCTCTCCATTGTGTTTTAACACATGGAGGAGGTTTGGAACATAAAGTCTTACTCAATGGACGACTGATTACATCATCCATTTAGTTGCAAAATGGTCGGATGATGCTTCATGATCAAATCAATCGCATTGTTGTTGAGAGGTGTTTCATGGTCATATTAGGTCGTGTCATTATCGAGGGATGTTTCATGGTCAAATTCGATCGTGTCACCATTAAGGAATGTTTCACGGCTAGATTTAGTTGTGTCCTCGTCGATAAATGCTTCATAATTGAATTCAATCATATCATCATTAAGGGATGCTTCATAATCATGTTTGATAGTATCATCATCAAGGGATGCTTCACTGTTGGATTGTCATCGTCAGAGGCATTTCATGATCGGATTTGATTGTGTCATCATCGAAGAATACTTCATGGTTGTATATCATCATATGGTAATTAAAGGATGTTTCATGATTGCCACCACATTATCATTTAGGATGTTTCTTAATAATATTCAATCGTGGGTCATCTTATAATCGAATTCATTTGTGTCATTTATCGAAGAATACTACTTTGTTGTTACGGATATGACCACAAAACATTTGAAAGAGATCGTTGGGGAGAGATTCTTGGGTTATCGAGGCTAGAATTGCACTTGCGTTGTGCCTTCGAGCGGGAGATGGTCATGCGTGCCAAACAAAGCTAATGGTATTATCTGATCACGCGCATCGTTGGATTTCACCAATGTCCTTTAAAATACGCAGTGATGGTCCCATGCATTCATTCCATCATGCATGCCCAATCGATGGCATTATGTAGTGGCATAAACCTCGAGCAATACGTGCCACACTTGTGATGACAGTGTGGAGTACAAAGCACCACAACGGTAGTGACAGTAAAGGCGAATGGCATTCTGATTCTAGGGTTCTTACGACTCCCTCGTTGCCTGACATTGATGAACAACACTATGGAGATCAACAAGTCACACAGCATCCTGCTCAAGAATTGCTGCTTGCTCAAGGATCTTGCTTTCTCGATCGCATGCATCACCCGACCATGGTCATGGAAAGCATGCAAGATTTGACTCTGTCATGTCTACATTCTTTCTATATTAAGTTCCCAATATTTTACTGCATGACAACATGCTTAGGTTCTGGGAAAGGTTCACGAGGAAGCCACACAATCCAAGTCGCCAACTGAAACCCTCGAAGAACACAAATCTATTGGATTCTTTTGTCTGCAACAACATGTCGTTATGCTATAGCTTCGACGTAGGGTTATGTAACCTACACTAAAATAGTCGGCGCGCCTGTCCTCGGCCGCATCAAAAGGCTTCCCTGCTCCAAGTGATCGCTTGCTCTGAGGGCACGCAGTGTGCCGCCCTACACTCTGCCGCAACCCTAGCTAACGCTACCACACTTAACCACTGTGATCCTAAACCCTAACGCTAGACCTAATCTCTCGCCCTGTCGTGATTCTTCTCTCTTTTATGCCCTTCCTGCTCATGGATGGAATTGCTTCCCAGTGTCAGATCCATTGATGTATCAAGTTCCTCAGATAGTGTATCTTTTGCTGTGGCTTCTGATCTCCCTCTTTGTTCTTTTCCGATGTCCATAGTCTTTCTTTTAGTCTATGGTGTTCTCTTCACTGTTCACTCTGGTCTCCTCATTTGTTTAAAGCAAGTTTATAGTGAAGATGTCATCTCCTAAGATATCTGAGAGTATATGAGTCAAGATGCCATCTCCTATTGGAAGAATGAAGTCAGTGACTTTGGCTATCCGAACAGTGACTTTGGCCATCTATTCAGAAAGGCCCAGGTGACTGATGAGTAAAGCTGCCAACATGATCTAGATTTGGAGGACTTGGACTACATATGCAGGTGTTGTTGATGATGTTTCCGATAAGGTCAGTTCAGTCCCTGCATGATCATGCTCTGACAACCTCACATCTTCCGGTTATGGGCACAGCACAGCAGGTTCCATCAACAGATATGGAGACTGAAGGACGCCTCTATTGTTCTCTATTCCTTTCATGGATTTGGAAGTGTCCGGAGCTCAGACTGCCATCTGTTTCCAGCTCGAGTTTTACAAGGACTTGCAGCTAGCATGGAGAAAGAACAATGCAGATAGAACGGATCCAACTGGTTGTGAGCTTTTCAGAAGCCTATGCTCAGACTGCCATCTTACTAATTACTTCAGCAGTTCTCTACTCCTTTCATGGATTTGGATGTGTCTATAGCTCCAGTTTTACAAGGACTTACAGCTAGCATGGAGAACAATGCAAGATAGAATGGATCCAACTGGTTGTGAGCATTTCAGAAGCCAATGCTAACATGCTTAGTGAGTCATAAACTGAAAGCCACTTTAGCTGTCATTATCTATTCATATGACTTGGCTTGTGGCAGTGTGCTGAGAGACACAATAGGCTGAAGCTATAATGTACATCACTGGTTTCAACTTATAGGGGGTGGCTAAAAGCTGAATTGAATACACAAACCTGTAGCCTCCTCTTTCCAAATTTATAGTGTTTAGCTTAAGGTAAATCT